CAGACAGACAGAGAGGCAGACAGACAGCACACATAAACTGACCGACAGACAGACAGACAGACAAAAAGGCAGACACACGTCATAGACAGGCAGCACAGCCAGACAGATAGACAGGCAGCACAGCCGGACAGACAGACATCACAGAAGGACAAACAGTACAAACAAGCAGACAGCACAGACAGCGTAGTCAGACAGAATAATTACAGCTTTTAGATACCGAAAAGAAGTGGCTAGAATTTGTAGTTTACATGAGTTCTAGTTGAAAAACTGTCAGAGGCCTCAAAAAACTTTACACTTGCATATTAAACAAACACCATGTTTTTGTAAAATCAATAAGGGTCACCATGTACTGACATAGGTACCATCCGATTGAGCCTCGAATCCAAATTAAAATTTGAAGTTAAACTTAAATACTTAAAAGCGTCCTCACGCTCAATAATAAAACAACTATCTACACAATCAGTGTCAACATTAAAAATCTTGAACTGACACGTTAAATCCACCTTAAGTCAAGCCAATTGGTCAAATAAAGTTGTACTCCTATATGAAACGAAGGCATCATCAACAAAAGGTGTTATTCTACCCATAAAGTTTGCCCAAAGAGTGAATTGATTTATTATTAAAATAATAATAAAATAAAGTTGTTTCTAGCACAGACCTTTGCGGGGCACCACTATTAAATACTTGTGGCGAAGTAATAATATTACTAATTGGAACTATCTGCATATGGTTTTTTAAATAAGGCACACACCAATTATAAACAGAACTTCTAAAGCCTATGCTATAAAGTTCTAGCAATTTACGGTGATTCATCATATCAAATGCCTTTGAAATATCAATGAACACAGCATCAGCAGCACATGATCGAGTCGCAGAAGAGTAATAACAAATTAAGAACAACTAAATACATAAGTGTATCGATCCAAAAATGATTGATTTTATCCTTCATGCCATTTACAAAAATTTTTGAAAAAGTAGACAAAAGCGAAACGGAACGATAATTATCTACAAGTCTTTTGTCACCCTTCTTATGAAGCTAAGAATTAAAATATAACGTGAAACATCAATAATAAACTACGCAATTACTTAAGTAAATATCACATTGCTTAAAATATTATCAGCAGAAACAGGAGTTGAAGATTGTAAAGATTTAAAAATTTTAAATATTTCATCTGACGAAAATTCATTAACGTAAAATGTGGTAAGTCGCATAGGTTCATGTAACAATTAAGAAACACCGTAAAAACTTGATAATTAAAAACATCACTAGCAGCAATAAAAGATCTTACTTTCATAAGAAAATTTTTAAAAACCTTATTAACATAAACTTGAAAAAATTTTATAACGTTTTTACATGCAAAGCGTCTGGGATAATACTCTTTAACAAAAATGAAAGAAAATTATGACGCTTTGAATATTTTTTTTACTACTGTGTCGTCTGACATTCTTATAACATGACCTAACCATTTGATTCTTCGAGCCTTCACGAATTTTATTATATTGGGCCATATATTTTTCTTAAAACTTTTCTTTCGAAGATTCCAAGTTGATTCACTTCTGACGCTTTCAGTGTCCAGACCTCAAAACTGAAACTAAGAACGGACATTACTAAAGTTTTGTGTAGCTTTAGTTTTAAATTTCTTTATAAGACTTGACCTAAGTCGTTTAATATTTGAGTAGAATGCACGGTTTGCCCCGTGTATTCGTTCTTGTATTGCAGTTTCGGTGTCCTTATTTTTATCAAATTTTAATCCCAAATAGGTAAAACTGTCCACACATTCAAAATTATAATTTCTAAGGATAAGACTTTGACTTCTGCTTGTTGAAGTAGAGCTTTGATTTTAATAAATACTTGTTTCTCTCATCAGTAATTGGTAGACCTATTTTTTCTGCCAATTTTTCCATTTTAATGAATGTTTGCTTCAATTCAAAGACATTATTACCACGTCGTCAGCATATGCCTACATTTGTACCAATTTGTTTAGTACGGTACTTCCAGGGTTCACTTCCCTAATGACATAGTTTAAAACCAAGTTAAACACAGTTGTAGAAAGTACATCACCCTGTTTCACACCAGATATAATTTCAAAGCTATCGGTGACCTTACCCTGTACTGTTACCATAGGATTCGTGCCTCTTCGCGTCATGAGGATTAGATTAACCAATTTCTTTGGCAAACCCTGCATTAAAAGAATGTTTACAATTTTACTTCTATTAACGCAGTAGAGCGCCTGCTTAAAATCGACGAACAGGCAGGTAAATTTAATATTAATTCCTTTAAATTTTTCAAATATTTGACTGAGAACAGCATTGATCGGTAGTTGATTTGCTTTTCCTGAAACCACATTGATAGTCAGCAATTATTGCTTCAGCATAAATTTGAACTATTTCATACAAAACATTTGTAAAAGTTTTGTACACCGAGCTAAGAGAAATACCGCGATAGTTTTTACATTGGGTTTTATCCCCTTTTTAATAGATTGGGACTATGGTGCTTCACAGCCATTCATCAAGAATAATTTCTTATTCTCAGATCTTTCTAATGAGCGAGTATATTTCTTGTATTAATGCATCTCCTCCATATTTAATCATTTCAGCAGTGATAGAATCTTCTCCACTTAATTTGCCATTTATCAGCTTTTTGATTGCATTTCTTGTTTCAACCAGTGTTACAGGTGTGACTAAATTGTCAACTAGATGAATTAGTTGTTCTTCCTCCGCTGGCGAACCCGCGCCTTTGTTAAGAAGTTCCTTAAAAAAAATCTCTCCACCTATCTAAACTTACTTTTTCTTCAGTGATAACCTGACTTTGTTTATTTTTCCATATATGTACATATATATGTACATATTTAATTAGATTTTGTTTGCTGCTTTACCAGTTGATACATTTCTCTGTGTTTAAATGAAAGAAGAAAACAACTCCAAAATATCTCGATAGAGAATCTAGACATTGAAGATGTGTCTCAATTCAGATACTTAGGTGTGCTTGCGTGAATAAATATTGGTTGCAAATAAATGCTACTTTGCAAACAGGAAAATAATGAGATCCAAACTCTTAATAAGAGGAACAAAGCTAGCTATATATGAAACGGTTGTACGAGCAGCATTAATATACGGATGCGAAATTTGGACTCTAAATAACTCCGACTAAAATGCACTGAGGTTGTTTGAGAGGAAAATGTTGAAACAAATATGTATATGGGCTTGCAAAAGACTACAAAATGGAGAGTATAGAAGTTACAAAACCGAATTATACAATCTAAGCCAGAAAGATGTAGTGAAATACGTTAAGTATCAAATCCTCAGTTAGGCTGGGCATGTTGTATGGATGCGCAAAAACAGAGCCCAAAATCGATATTCCTAGTCAGACCGCTTGTACCCATCAAGAATTGAAAACAATTCTGGAGGTCATTTGTGCAGAAGGCTAAAACCAACCTTGGGTTGTAAAGCTACAAGAAGAAGAAGTTGCAACTTTGACAATGCTCGGATCAAAGAAAGAGACAACTAGAAAAAATTTGGCTTCATTATTTTTTTAAGATGTTCCTTCTTTAGGTTGCGTAAGACGAACCAATGAATTCATTTAAAATATACATATTGAAATGGAACTGGTGAATTCAACTACCAGTGGTGAAATAGCCGTAATTCCTATTTTACCGCTGACTGTTTTTTTGACATTGTGTCTTTTCATGTTCGTGTGACATTATATACCACTTACTTAGCAGTTGATTTTGCCGTTCCGGTGTTGTTCTACTTTAACAGTAAAAGTGGTATAAATTTTTTCGCAATGGCAAATGACAAGATAATTGTATGTTCTTTCTGTAAAACTTTTCATATGACCAAATGTCCTTTTTTAGTCACCTCAATATTTGCATTCGATTGACCATCGTGCCATGATTTTCTAGGCTAAATGCATAAATAAAAAGGAAAAATAAAAAGTTTGATTTAACAAAAACTATTAAATTAATTACTATCACTACATTAATTTTTATGTTTATAATTGAGGTTTTTATATTTTACAAAACACAAACTATGTATTGCTTTAAACCTATTAATCTCTGTTTTTGTTTATATGCAAACAACCAAAATATTTTCACAGTGAACGAACCAGTGAATCCAGCTTTACTGACAAACTTTAAAATATTTTTTATCCACTCACACATTTACCAAAAAGGCATATTTTAGGTAACGAGACGTGATAGATTTTCTTTATCATGTTAGTGATGCGGCTAACAGAATATGGGTAATGTTAACTGGCTTAAAACTTGATTTTTGTCTCGATCCTGTGGTGAATCAAACTTATAATCAGTGTTCCCACTCGGTAAAAATAAAATGTATCTAGCCTTCTAAAGTAGAATTACTATACTAAGTCGTCTTATTTTTTTGCATATAAACCCATAATTAATATTAATTTGCTTTTTTAACAATGTGAGTTTTGTTATATATAGTAAATTCTTTAAGAAATCATACGCAACTTCTATTGTATTTTAAATGTGAAAGTTAAGGTTAGAAAATATATATATATATGATCTGCAGCTGTTGAACTATGCGGTAAAGACGATTCACAATAAAAACCGACAATTTTAAAAAATATGTACAGCCAATGCGTTTTCTGTGCCACTTAGTTTACGCCAAAAATATTCTTGGTACATTCTTGTTTTAATGTTCTCATATTTGTTAAAGTATTTTTCTTACTTTCTTCTAACAAATTTTTAAATGTGCACAGTAAAGCCATTTAAATGTGCTTATTTTTTTGAAGATAAAGCAATTTCGCGACTTAATATTAGCAGCACTTTAACATTTTTGTAATATTTATTTAGTGTTTGAGAAAGAAATGTATCCAAATTTCAGCAAAATTTTCAAATGTAGCCAATTTCGGTATTTTAGCAGATTTAAGTATCTTTGTATCAACGCTAAATTTAGAGAATAGACTGTCAGCTCACTGAATGTCTTGTGGATATTCCATTTAACGCATAGAATTTTTTTGTATATGTAGTTGCCAACTCTAGTATGGCGTTTATATTATGTTATTGGCGTTTATATTATATTATATTATATTATTGTTATTAACCTTTTTCACCAAGCGACATTTGTTTTTTAAACGCTATATTGGTAAAAATGTAGGCATATCTAATTATCTATAATTGAATCTATTATAAATTATTTGCTCTTAGTTGGTAGTATGGAAGCGAATAACGAAGTGTTTACATTTACTCCTTTTAAATCCTTTGTACATACTTCTTTTTGGCACAAACTGGCTGAAATAAAACTTGAAATAGATAAATTATCAGATAAGGCTAGACCTATCTTTGGATATTACACAAATGTAAATTCAAAATCTTGTTTGTTGGAAGTGGATTACAGTTCATTCAACAAAGATTTTAAACCACCCATCAACAATTATATTTGCCATGGAGTTCTTTATAATAAAAATACAGTGGAAGAATTCAAGCAATGCAATAAAATCGATATCATGAGACATGAAGGTGAATCATTTATTTCTGATATGAGAAATGGAAAAATTTTGGACGACCCAAGTTTGCTATCACGCTTTTTTATTCTTTCGTTTGCTGTAAGATATTGGCAATCTCATTGAATGTTATAAAATTTTCATAAATTTTAGGATCTTAAAACGCATAAATTTTATTATTGGTTTGCTTTTCCTTGCCCAATGTTGCCAGTTTCACAGTTAATTAAAAAACAAGTACTAAGTTCGGAAATGGTTGAACAGTTATCTATATTATATGAAAAGACAAACTATAAAAACAGAATGTTCTTTATTGTTGTTAAGGAAGAACATAATTATCAGCGATATAATTTAAATGATTATATATCTTTAAATCCAGAGCAAAATTTTAAAAGTTGCAATATGAACAATTTTTATTTTTGTTTTATTGATCCAAGTGAATATGAAACACCTGGCTGGACCCTTCGTGCTTTTATGGCTTTACTCTATATAACATGGTAAGGTGCTTTTATAAACAATAAACCTGGATTCTTTATACATCATAATTTTTTATTTTTGCAGCCCAAATATTCATGGACAAATCCTGAATTTCATTGGGATACGTTTTTCAAGCTTAGGGTCTTGTGATGCTAGTAAACAGTGGCATGTTAAACTTGCTGAAACTAAAAAATTCGTAGAAAATCTTAACTTTGTAGGATGGGAACTTAATCTGCATGACAAAATGGGACCGCGTTTAACTTGTCTGGAAGATTCAATGGACGGAAAAAGGTAAATATGTGACATTATGAAGTATGTAGATAGGTAGGTGTGTATATATTTTCAACAAAATGTTATATGTTTATTTGCACTTGTAGATTAGCTGAAAATTCCTTACTACTAAATTTGAAGTTAATGAAATGGCGCTTATTAACAGATCTAGACTTAGAAGCAATAGCCCGGACAAAGTGTTTGTTACTCGGGGCCGGAACCTTGGGTTGTGCAGTATCTCGGTCATTGTTGGTAAAAGATTTTTTTACTATGAAAATACACCGATTTTTTTTATTTTTTCACAGGCATGGGGTTTTAAAAATATTTCATTTATTGATAATGGTATAGTACGATATTCCAATCCAGTTCGACAGAGTCTTTATATTCACGAAGACGCAGTAGATGGGAATAAACCTAAAGCGACCACAGCAGCCGCTAGACTGGTGGAGATAAATCCAAATACGGTAAATATATATGCGGCCGATGAGTTTTTTTGAAAATCTATAGAGTCCATCGCTCTAGCACTTTACATAAGCACTTAGAAATACTTTATGACATTAAATGATTCAATCGTGCTTCTCATATTATATTCTCTATAAGTATTCCTGATAATTTAGCAAAGTTTATGAGCAAAAAACTCACATTAACAAAATATATTAGAAAATTTTCACTATACATTAATATGTACATGCATATATGAAGATTGTAGAATCAAAACACATATATGTATTTGCGAAATTTAAAAAACTTAAATTAACAATAAAGTTTTATTCCTTTTGTGAAAACATATGTACATATAAACAAGCTGGTGAACCCTCTTATTTCACTCGTACTAGAATCAAAATAAAACATTATTGTATTTCACTAAATGTGTCAAAACCATAGCTAACAGAAATTCAGGCCTGGACCTTAGATAGAGTAACAGTTCATACTTTTATATAAACACATATATATCTATATAATTTTCATGTTTATACTAAATTGATTAAATTTATATCCTTCATAATTCATAAAAATTATTGCATATGTGAATCCTTTTTAGGTATATATGTGATTTTAGTTTTATTAGGAAATATTTTCATATTGTCAGTAAGGCTAATTCACTAATTTACCTAAACTACCGCATCAGTAACTTTAAAACTATACAAATTTCTTGATAATATTTTTATTTTCATCGTTTTTATATAGGGGGCAACTTGAAACGACGCATTTTTTATAATGATTATAAAATTTTAAAAGCACTATCATAATTATAAAACTTAAAATCAAATAATTACAAACTTAAATTCTAAATTTAAATCTAATAAAATTTTTATTAACTTTATTTTAAGCCGTGTATTCTAGACTAAAAAATCTGATGTGTATTGTCTAGTTAAGTTAAAGTGTTACAGAATATTATAAAAATGTTTGTTAAATACTTCTTTCCAATTTTTAGGACACTAGTAAGCTTATAGTTAACATACCTAGAAAAATGTAAATTTGGCTCTTAGTAGAGTTTCGCTTTGTGCTACCCGAATTCTCTGAAATGCCGGTTAGTTTGGGTAACAACCAGAACTCAAAAATCAAGTTTCAACAAATTCCATCAATACGTTCCGTAGATATGGTGAAAAACGGAAAATCGGTCCGCAGATCAGTTTTCGAGCCTTGATTTTTCCAAAAACTTTATATGTTCATTGTTTCAATACGAAGAATTTAAATATTAAATTTCAATGATTATTTCTCTTTATATATGCAAAAACGTATATTTGGCCCGTAGTAAACGTCCAGTTATTAAACGCTGACACCTGATTACTTCCAAAAGTAAGGAGGTTTTGCGGTCGATCGGAGCTTATATATGAAATTTCAAGTAAATCGGTTGAATATTTTCTTCAAAATGGTCAAAAATGTAAAACAGGCCCGCTAAAAACTGCAGTTCCCGAGGCCTGATATATTCCAAAAGTAGATCAATCCGCCCCATGGTCGAAATTAACTTACATATAAAATTTCATCAAAATCGGTTAAGCCGAACTTGAGATACACGCGTGCACACTCAGTTTGAAAGACCGACATACCGACAGTCCGATAGGTTGCCAAAAATAGTTTACTTACACTTCCCTACTATTGAGAAGAGCACTCCCATCGAAAACTCGATATGTAAAATTTGTTACCATCACATCACCTCTCTATTGTATCACAATACGGTCGTTAAAAATATAGCACTAATTTTTTTTTTGTTGAGTGTATTATCATTTTTTGCTCTCAATTCTTTCAGATATGTTGCCTGACATGACGATACAAAAAAATGCGGAAAAAATTCGAAAATATATTTAATTAAAATTGTAGTTAAAATTTTAAGGCGAAATTTCAATTTTTGATGTTTTCAGAAAACATCAAATTTCATGTTTGTATAAAATTTTTTAGGTTTTTTAATTCATAATTTTTCCCAAAAACCAAAAAAATTATTCTTCAGAAATGTCATTTTGCCAAAAATACATATTTTTACAAATACATTCACTAAAAAGCAGGGTCCTTTATAATAATATAAATTATAAAATGCTGTTTCAAAATACGTAGTTCATTAAGTCTGTCTGCTAAAAGAGAGTTCTTAAAAACTTCATTTTTTTTTATTTCAATATTAGGTTACTGTAACCTACATATCTAGCAATTTTATGTTCTGATGCATTGAGGAGGTAGGGGAGCGATACCCAGTGGACAAATTCCTTAATTAATTTAGTTGCTTATTCAATCAAGTCAAATGGCTTTAGTCTCCTTAGTCTTCTTTGGTGATTTGGAGTCTGAACTGAGCTCTTAACTTCATTTTTAAGACGGCGAAGGGTTCTATCGTTGTGTTTGATTGCTTGGATTTTTATTTCTTCTGTTACTAAGTTGATGCTTAGGTCGCTGTTTAGGTTGAATACCGTAAGTCTATATTGGTTTGATTTTTTCATTATATAATACATAATTTGTTTGCAGGTTCAATTTGTAATACTTTTCAATTAACCAGTCAAGTTTTCGGATTTTTATTTTCATTTCATCTTTTTTCTTAACATGCTCTTTCCACTTTAGTTTTGCGTCAAAGTCATACCGAAGTATTTCGCTGTTTAAGCTTATTTCTATTATTTTTGCTTTATTTTTTATTTTTGGTTTCGTAAAGTTTATATGGACTGACTTTCCCTCATTTAATTTGATTCTCCAAATTTTCGTCCATTTGCTAATTTTTTCAACTGAAGTTTAGAGGCCGGTTGTTGTTTCATCTTTCGTTTTTGGTGTTACTAAAATGGCTGTATCATCTGCAAAGTATCAACAGGAGATCTCGACATTCCTCAATTTCAGTTAAATTGTCTGCCAACACTCTTAGAATAAAGATATCCTGTAGATCGTGGACTCTTTTAGAGTCAGTTAGCCAATATGTTGGTTTTGTTGTTGAGATAAATTTAAAATTGAAGTCATCAGATGCTTCGTACAATGCTCTCCCTTTTGTTGTTGCTAGTTTTGATCCCCAATGTACATGTTTTGCATTGAAATCGTCCAATGATGAAGAAAAGGTCAAGACTTTCTAACATGACTAACATAATCATTCTTTTTAAGATTATGTTTGGGCTGGCTATAAAATGCTGATGTGTTAAATTGTATGCTTTTAAGAGAGTGTTTTTTAATTGTTATTAGTTGCATAGTTTTTAGCTTTATTTTGCCTTCTTCATTGTGTTTTAGATGGTCTTTAGTAAATATTGCAGAAGTCCATTCAGCTTTGCCATTTGGGTGACAAGCGTGGTAAAAGCTGTAACCTCTTATTTCGATAAAGCAATCACTAACTAAGTGAGATTCTAATATTAAGCAAATGTCTATATCATTGTTTCTTAATACAAATTCTAATTCATTTAAGTGCTGCAGAATCCCATTGGCGCTCCATTTTAAAATTTTTAGGTCTGGCATTTTTTTGTTCTAACTTTAAATTGGTCTTTTATTTGCAAGATTGTGCTCTTTTAGTTTTTCTTATATTAGTAATAGTGTTTTTTCAATAGAATTATTGTTGTCTTGGTTTACCCCTTAATATCTGCGCGTACGAGAAGCAATATTGTTACAATTCAGTGGCGTGTTAAGTTTGGGAGCCGCATTGTCAATTTGAACTTGGGTAGGTCTTCTGCTTAGATTTTTTGTTTTTAGCTTTTGTTTACGTCTTTTTTTAAATTCCCTAGAATCCGTGGGCCCGACCTCCGTAGTGGGTCAATTTATCAAATTGATTGGCGTGCTACGTGGGTTTTATAATCCTGTTGTTTTTCCATTGCATGGTTGATTTACGTGTAATCCTCGTCAGGAACTTTTTCGAAAATTTTCTGGTTTTCATAGCCTAATATAAGTATTTGTTTATGTTAAATATTTTATGTAAATATATGTTTATGTTTAAAATATAAATACTTTGAAATTTGACATTTTTCACATATTTATAAAGTTTTGAAAAGTTTTTTTAAGTTTTCCGTTTGGTTTACTGTTTTTTTAAATGACAATTTTTTTTCTATTTGCGAGAAATTTGGTCACTGTTTCTTTTCTTAAAGTTTTTTCAAGTTTTACCTCAGACAAAACTAATATCAAACAAGATATTGTCGTGAAACATAATATTAATTGGAGAATTTAAAAAATACTAGTTTAGAATTTTAGATTGGTATAAAAATACGTTTAATATTTTTGAATTTCTTGTACTAACCGAAAAAAAGATCTTAAAATAAATGGAATCAGATTTTTCTTATACATTTTAATGAATTTCTATAAAATTTTTTATCTTGAATTAAAATTTTAATGAACTTAATCGAATAAATTTGAAGTAAATAAAAATAGGCAGTAAATAAAACTCAAATACTAAATTTCAAGAAATTCAGTCAATTAGTTCCTTAGATATAAGAAATGTAGAATTGGCTTTGGTTTCCAACGAATTTTGATTTGTTTTCTGAAACATATCAATAATTTATATAAGAATGCATGAAGAACATACGAGTAAAATAAAGTAATATTCATTTTCATTAACTAATGTCTTTATATCTAACAAGTCCCAATACTCAATTTTTTTTCGAAATATTAGGATTTTTTGTCTTCGTTCCTGTTTTTTTCTTTAAATTCCCCTGATCGTGTCATATTTCTTATTATTTTTTTCTTTTTTTTTACGTAAAAAAAGAGTTTAGTATTTCAAAAAATCTCAGGATATTATACACATTTTTTAAAAAGTTTCCCATTAAAATTCTGTTGCACGAAAAAGAAAGAAAGGTAGGAGGGAAGATAAAATGAAAAAAAAATTGAAATTCATATTTCAGTATGGTTTCAAATGTTAATGAGGAAGGATGTATGTTTTTTCATGCACATTTTGTATTTCCCAATAAGGTAAGTTGAGTAGAGTCGGCTAACAAAAATGTTATTAAAAGTAATATAGGTTGACACATTTCACCAATTTGAATTATCTCATTTCGGTTATTTATACGTTACTTTAAAATTGTTT